ATGGGCCGTTTGGGCCCTGTGGGCAGATGGAATTTGGAAATGTAGGGGCTGAACCGGTACTGGGTGGTATAACTGGGCCGACACCAACAGGTGAAAGAGCACTAACAGAAATAGTTGGAAAAAATGCCTCTTTTATAGCTGGAGAAAGAGCTTTTGAGCAGCAGCTGATAGAGAAAGGTGCAAAAAACACATCCCCTCTTAAAAGCACAGAGAAAAATGCAACTAACTGTATGTATCGCAACCGGAACCGTCGAATTTGTGACTGGCATCGCGCTCGCACACAGGCTTCCCAATTATGGAACATGCTGTGGACTTTGAACTGCGACCAGTCCGCTCGAACAATCGTTTGCTTTTGCACTCCGCACTGCGGACCGTCCTTTCGAACAAGCGCTTGCCGTTCGATTCCGAGTCGTGGCCAGTGGTCCTGCTGCTGCTGTTGTTGTCATCGAACAGGCGTCTGATGGCAAATTCCGGTTCGTGACCGCCCCTACCAAATGGGCGTACACTGGTGGATCCCGGTGCCAGTCCGGTGCAATATGTCGAGGCCGGCGGCTGTGGTTGCCCAAAAATGGCGAAGTTCGGCCCATCGCTGCTGCAACCGAAAGAAACAGCGTGTAAAAGAAAAAGCCCTCGTTTTCTAGAGAAATCGTTACTAATTCGACCGGCGAATTTTTAGGCTGGCAATTTGTGTCTAAGTGCGCGAAACAGAGAAGTCGATCAGGCACTTAGGCATCACTGAAATTTCAGCACACACACATATATGCCTCACAGTCCCATCAGGCCAAAAAGATAAGCTGACAACGAACTGAGGCACACACACACACACACACACACACACGGACAGCGTGCCACAACAATAATATTGTAAAAGCGAAGAAAACGCTCGACTTGCACTACAGAGCTGTACAGGCCACGCTTTAATGTTCCGGCGGATGTGGTGGCGCACTTCATGCACCGCCTTAAAAAATGACCGAAATTCGGCCTTTTCGATGCAATTTTTTGCATGTTGATCAATCAGTTCAAGCGCCGTTACATGGCAAAAATTTGAGAGACGAAAGCTCCTGCGCGAATGCAACAAACCTGCTCCGTATGGTACCCTCCTTCGATGGAACGAACGACCCATCCTTTCGGTCCATGATCACCGCAGAGTGTGACACTCCACGAGGCCCT